TTTGCATTTATTACAGGGAAGGAAATTATTTTCTAGATTAAAAAAATAGACTAAGAAGATCCTACTATTCCCTTTGACCCATCCTCTGCTCTAAATGATAATAGAGAAAATACTCTTTCAATAACAATAGATCAAAGTGGTTTACAACAAAACAGAGTGTATACCATTTAATAAGTGAAGCACAAATCAGAATACCATTAAGTAGGAGAATTCTTGAGAACATGTATTTAAATTTTCCCTCCCATAATCTTCTGGTAAAATAAACTAAATGAATGTAAACCTCATATCTTCCAAGATTTATTACAATTATTACCTGTATTTTACCTTAGCTTAGGATTGCTGATGAGGAGAATCCAGCACACAGAAAGAAAAGCACTTGGAGATGAAGATAAATGTACAGTTGTAGATGGTCTGCATTACAAACAAAAGTTCACAGATGAAGGGTATTTTAATGCAATTTTTAGAGAATGTAATTAAATACCTATGCTGAGGGAAAATGAAATACTTTCTCCTGGATTTCTTGTGAGATGTCTTTGGGTTCTATGATCATGAAATACAAGAAGTGTATAGATATATATCCAGTTCTAAATCTACTCACAGGACCCAATGCAGTCACAGAAAAAAAAAAAGGGATCAGGTATATTGGGAGGGTTGAAGTTCTGTTTTCATCTGTATGTGCAGAACATCTCATGGGATACAATCACTTTGGAGACTATGGTCCTCAGTAAAGGAATAATTAGAGTCTTGTTTTTCACTTTCTTTGCAAATCATTTTTTGTCTCCCAGGTATGTTAATTTTCCTTGTACTGATAGAGTAATCTTATATCTAGGGAAACTTAAGAGTCAAAATCCACCATTGGAATATTTTAGCTCCAAAAACTGCATCCTCCTCCTCATCTTCACAACGACCACAGCCATTGCTATCATCAGCATCATTTATTACCATTATGATCGTTATTCATCAGTATGCATCATCAACAAGCTTTGAAAAAAAATTCAAAGATTTTACTAAAACAAGCTGTAAATGAATGTTAAATTTGTTAGGAACCTTAAATTTGTCTTCCTGCTGCTGTACATGTAGAATGGCAGGAGGTTGAAGAGCAGAAGGTAGACTCATAGGAACCCTTTATTTGTATGTGCATTCATAAGGGAAATGTGTTCATAAGAATACCTCCTCCTTAATAACATATTGAGTATTACATTATCAAAGAATATATTGGTAATGAAGAGTTTTAAATTACAGTCTTTATTTGGAGATCATTGTAGATTCACATGTAGTTGTAAGAAAAAATATAGCCAAATCCTATGCTTTCTACCATTTTCCCGTATAGGTACCATCTTGCAAAACAATGTCATAATCAGGATATTGACATTGGCACAATCCATTGATTTTATTTAGTTTTCCCAACTTTACTTATACTTGTTTGTGTGTGGCTGTTGTGTATTTTGTTCCATGCTATCAGTCCATATATCCACCACCACAGTTAAGATAAAAACACATCACCTTTATTTTCTAAACACATCACCTTTATTTCAAAACAATGATTTGGTTTTCAGCTATCCTTCAAAGATGGCACATTATTATTCTTTGGTATCATTAAAAACTCATCAGTTTAAACATTTATTATATATTTCAATCCATTGCAGTTATTATTCTTTTGTTGATCAAATATTTGTATTGTGGCTTCTGGAGTTGTCTTCAGTTCATCTCTGAATGTTTGGCTCAAAACTGTAACCTCTAATACCTGCCTTGCTATTTGCCATAATAAGATATTTTGAACTGATCCCCAAAATTTCATTCTTCAGACATGGAGTCAATCATTTCTCCAAGAAACTTTTTTTTTTTAAAGTGAGAAAAGTATTTCAGGAGCATAAACTAGGTGCTAGAGAGGCTGATTGCTTCTGGATTGACCATTGTTTAAAACAGAAGTAGGAAATCAGGACAATGCAATTCTGAGGGCCATTCTTTTCTTTCTTTTTTTTTTTTAAACCCAGTAATTTTACTACTATATGTTTTTTTGAATACATTTATTTTGTTTATTTATTTTTAAGTGCTACTAAGGATCAAACCCAGTGCCTCATATGTGCGAGGCAGATGGTCTACCACTGAGCTACAGCCCCAGCCCACAACTGTATGTTTTAATATAAATTCTGGTGCAATCTTCTTGGGTATGATGTTTCTTCTCAATATGTCCCTTAAATTTTTTAACACCAGGACTTTTTTCCCCCTCCAATTACCGTTTTTATAATTTGTTGTGTTCTCTTGGTTTGGATTTCCCTGTTGAGGTTCTCATCTATGAAATTAGAGATCTCCTTTTATAGGCATTTGCACTTGTTACTTGCCTATGAATACTCTACTTTTTTCTTCCTTTTCACCTTTTATTTCTCCTGAAATTATGTTTATTTCTTTTCTTTTATTCCTAGTTAAGTCTTAGTTACTGTTTTTTTCCTTTTATTTCTAGTAATTTCCTAAAATTCTATTCTTAACTTATAATTTTTATAATTCTGATTTCTCTTGTGCCTTGTATCATTTTCATAATGTGTTTTGGCTCATTTTGAAATAATGGTACAGTATTTATTTGCTTGTGAGTATGTTCTTGTGGCTTCCTCTACAGTTTCTGAAAATACATTTTTCACACCATGAAAATGTAAATTTTGATTATATAAAAATTATGGGTTTTGTTCATCAAAGGACACCAGTGATAGATGTAATAGAAATATAATGTAATGGGAGAAGAAATATAATACAACAGGTGAACATTTTAATCTAAATAGTATATGTAATAAGCTCCAGCAAATCCCAAGAAAATACATCAACATCATCAGAAGAAATGGGGAAGACATATAGAACATCCAGTTTGTTGAAGAGAAAGGCTGAAGTACCACTAAGCATGTGAAGAGGTTCTCAAACCAATTGCTAAACATAGAAGTGCAAATTAAAACAGTGATGCATCATCTTACATCCATAAGCCTGGCAAAAATAAAAAACTGGGTGGTGAGGTGTGTTATACCGAGGAGGAGGGGAATTAGAAACCCTCATGCACTGTAGCTGTTCTGGAAAGCAGGAAAACATTACTTAGAATGGCCACTCATGAAAGTGATGTGGCCTATGAATTTATTGTTTTTTAATAAATTCTGACATTGTGGAAAGTCACAAAAAAAAAGAAAACATTACTTATGAGAAATAAGTCCATGTTTCCACAGGACTCAGCAATTTTTTTTTTGGTGGTTTTGGGGATTGAACCCAGGACCTTGTACATGCTAGGCAAATACTCTACTACTAACTGAGCTATATCCCCAGCCCAAGGACTTGGAAATTCTTGCCTGAAGTATATACCCATATTCTCTCCCAGGCCTACGGAGGACATCTACAAAGTCACACGTTATAAATTTTTGCTGATGGAAGCATCAGACAAACTTCATGTCCACCATTGGTAAACAGATCAGTCATATTGAAGACTTTGCTGCAGGTAGGACAAGCTATAGGCAATATAACTTAGAAGTGTCATGTTCAATGAGAAGAGTAAGAAAGATAATGAGATGTAAAACACAATATTGTTTATGTATATTAAAATTATATGCAAAAATTTGCAAAAAAGCACATTTAGAAAGAAAAAAGCATATAATACACATTAAGTAGTTTAGAATGGTTGCCTGGAAAAATAGCATGCATAGAATTTGGGAGTTGGTGGGATTCCCCCCCTCCCCCACCCCAGGCAACCAAGATAGACCAATCTGGGCCAAAACCCACACCTTTACAAATGTAAAGGAGTAGAAATCATCCAATGTCTGCTTTCAGATCACAGTTACTGTAGAAATCAATAACTAGATGATAGCTGGAAAAACCCAATATACATGAAGATTAAGTGACATTCTGATAAGGAACACATGGGTCAAAGAAGACATTTCAAGAGAAATTGAAAAATAATTGAACTAAATGAAGAGACAGACACAACTTTTCAAAGTTGTGAGAGGTATTGAAAATAGTGCTTAGAGGGAATTTATAGCGTTGAACTCATATTAGAAAAGAGAAAAGATTTAAAAATAACTGTGTAAGTTTCCAACCTAGGAAACTACAAAAATAACAAATTAAATCCAAAGCAACAAAAGAAAAGCAATAATAAATTTGATATACCTCTACTTATTTATGATAAAAGTGAAGAATCAACCAGGGAAAAGGATAATGAACCAAATTTTAGACAAGACCATTACATTAAATGTTGGCAGAACATTTAAAGGGCAAAAGACAAGAAAGAAGTTCACATTGAAAGTTCAGACCATGAGAGAGAAGAAGGTGAGATGCAAATCATAGAATCATCAAAGCAAAGGTGATAAGAAAAAGAGCAATAGGGAATTGCTCCAGACATGTGTCTTTCAAGAGTGAATAAATGAGGTTGAGGTGTGAAGTTTTTCCAAAAACATACCCACAGACAGAATAGTGAATGTGACCAACAGAAGAATTTGAAATGGCACATGTAGCATCTATCATCAGGCTTTTCAGTCAAACAGATCTTCAATTAAATTCTAGTTCTAATAGTCATTAGCTGTGTCAACTTGGGCAAGATGCTCGACGACACTGTCTGACTCATTGTTCCCATCTGAAAAACAGGGATTATAATACTAAAATATAATATTTTGAGGATTAGATGTGGCCTTAATAAATATTTAACTTAGCAAATAAGTTTTGAATAAAAGAAGTTTCACACACGCACCTAAGGAGGAGAATATTTCAAGAAGTTATATTCTTAAGCAGTCAGGAGGAAATTTAAAATGACCTTGAATTATATCATTCTCTTCTGTTCACTCATTCTTATATAACTCTGTATATGTGCTTAGTTCAATAAAACCCTTTTACTTTTAATTCATCATTTCCAAACTATATTCTACAAGTCTCAAGCAGGAAAACCCCTCTCCAGGGAAAATCTATATTCCATAACTTATGTGTGACTAAGACAACCAGTATAATACAATAAAAGACTGAACACATAATAGGCAGTCTTTCAAATTTTATTGCATATAACAGACTTACATATAAATGTACTTTAATAGGAATTCATATTGCAAATCCATAAATTTAGGAATGGTTTCATGTCTTCTGAAGTTATGCATTAAGGGTTCTTATAGGTATTTGATGAAACTCTTTAGTTCTCCCCACTAAACTAGAAATATAGTTACTTTTGCTAAATCAAAGGATTTTAAAATGGTAGTACTCATGAGTTTTGACAGTGATGCTAGATCATGTATCCCTACTGTGTGAAACTTCTAAGATCAAAGAAACTTACCACGAAGATAGTGGGGGAAGAATTTAGTGATGAAACTTAGAATTCATCTTTGTTTTACATAGGTCCACAAAGCCCTTCAAAATAATATTATCATAAAAAATTAAATTGTGGGGATATATGTTCTATTTCATAAAGTGAAATCTTCCCCTACAATATTTTAAAATCTATAATTTTCCAAAAGCAAAACAAATGAATCAAGAATGTGCAAAGGATTGAAATAAAGAAGGGGTTAATAAACAAAAAAACTAAGATGGTCTTTAAGTGGAAAACATGGTTTGATAGGAGGAAAAAGGATATGATTCTAAGCATAATGGAGACACTCCATGCACAAGAAAAAACAGAAAACACAGAGGTCTTTACAAAACAGAGAATAAGTATTGAAGGGTCTATCTTCAGTTAAGGAAGACTGTTAGTGGGAAAAAGAGCCACAGACATTCTCTGAAGGTGTCCCACAACTAGCTCTCTGGAATTTAATTAGTTTCCACTAATTAAGTGTACTTATGTAAGATTTGAAAGGTGGGAGTGGGAGGTTCTCCCCCTTCATTGTGATCAGAGTCACCTGAGGGCTTGTTAAAACAGATTGCTGGGCCCTACCCTGTAACTCAGTAGGTCTGGAGTGGGGTCTGAAAATCTGCATTTTTATTAGGTTTCCAGGTGATGCTCATTATAGGATTCTGTCATCTATATTCCAGTTTCATGGTATAGGAAACATTCTTCAATGGTGGCAGCAGTGACAGCTGGAGCTTCCTGACTTCTAGGTCTTATCTGTTGTGCCTATGGTGACCAGCCATCCTGGTTTGCCTGAGATTGAGAGGTTTCCCAGGATGTGGGACTTTCAGTACTAAAATTTGGAGAGAGCCAGATGAATTTGGGGGAGACTGCCACTCTGGTGTAATCTTCCCTTAGCCATCATGAAGATGTTGCAGAGAAAGAGGTTTGAGCAGATGACAAAGGAAGGGGTTTGAGAAATTTTAGCCACTTGAAATTGGAAGAGAAAAACTAGGGCAGTTTTAATAGGCTGTTCAAAGTTACTGTCAGCCTATAGTGAAGGGGACAAAGTGTGAGATCACAGAGTGTGGGCTCTGTAGTCATGAGACTGTTGTTTGATTCCAGTGTTGGTTGTTTACCAGCTGTGTAACCACAAGAAGATTACTAAACCAAGTTTCTATGTTTGTTTGGTGGGTACCATGGTACCTACCTTTTTAAAGACCTAAATAATATACAACAGAAAGCACTAAGAAGAGTTGCATGGCTCAGAGTAAACATCAAAACATGCTAGCTGCAGTTATTATTGTTACCAAGAAAATTACATGAAGGAATCAGAAAATCTTGGGCAGGAATTAAGGAGGAATATTAGAGGAAAAAGAGAGGAGAAGGAGAAATCTGGATGAAAAAAAGTCTGAGTTTCATTACCTGTGACTTAAATTCACCTTTGTTTACCTTAAATTCTCCCAAGTGCCATAAATAGGAATTGAGTTGAGCACTATTTTTTATATTGAAGGCAATAAGGCCATGAATAACTCCCAAATTTAATACTGAAAATATTTAAATTAAAAATTAATATAGAAAGTGCTTACCATGAAGCTTTAATAGAGGCAATGGATCCCAAAGGAAAGAATATGAACTTGAAATTGGCTAGTATCAAACAAAATGAGAGAGGGAGGGAAAGAGGAAAAGGAAAGGAGGAGAGAAGGCATTCTTCCAACCACATAGAAATGTGATTGTTTCCCATCTCAATTGGGTAGGCATGCAGAGGGCATCCTCTGATAACAACTTGTTTTTATATTGAGAAGAATAATTACATTTGCATTAAAAGAGTTTCCTCCTCAGTGTCTTCTGAAGGGCAGCCTTTACCTCCTTGTTCCTCAGGCTATAGATCAGAGGGTTGAGCATGGGGATCACTGTGGTGTAGAACACAGAGGCCACGTTCTCCTGGGCCAGGGAAGTGGCAGTGGAGGGCTTTAAGTACATGAATGCAGTGGATCCATAGAACAGCCCCATGGCTGCAAGGTGGGAGCTGCAGGTGCTGAAGGCTTTGGATCTACCCTCTGTGGAGCTGATGCGGAGGATGCTAGACAGGATGAAGGTGTAGGAAACAAGGACGGTTAAGCTAGTGACTGTGATGTCGAATCCAGCTAGGGAAAAGACTACCATCTCTACATCATAGGTGCTGGAGCAGGAGAGCTTCATCAGGGGGAGGATGTCACAGAAGTAGTGGCTGATGAGGGGCTCACAATAGCGCAGTTTTAACATGAGGCCAGTCCCTATTGTTGAACCAATTAGTCCAGTGGCGTAGACCAGAGCAACCAGCACAGAGCAGAGGGCATGTAATGACAGAGGAGTAGCAGAGATCCACGAGTGACAAGTTGCTGAGGAAGAAGTACATGGGGGTGTGAAGCTGAGGGTTGAGACAAATGAGGGTGATCATGCCCAGGTTTCCCACCATGGTGACCACGTAGATCCCCAGGAAGAGGATGAAGAGGGGGAGCTGGAGCCCTGGCTGTGTTGTTAATCCCCCAAGAAGGAACTCTGTCACTGTGGAGTCATTTTCTGCAGCCATTTCTCTGGGTGGGAGGCCTTTGAGGATGGTAAAGAAGAACCTGTGAGAGGCTGCCTCTGCACAGCCTGGGGAAGCTTGTTTTCTGCATTTGGTGTCTGCTGAGCCATCCTGTCTGGCCTATATAACTTCCCCTCACTCCTGCTGTTTGGTGAGTGAAGGGACAGCTCCTGAGTATTTCAGAGATCTTGAAGATGAGAGGAAAGGGACCAAGATCTTGAACTCTTACCACTCTCCTAAGAAATCCTAGATCATTGAACCTACATGTTGTTCTTGGACCAATAGCTTTGCCTTTTCTTGGAGCTTGTAGGTCTCATCCCATGGCCCTAATCAAGGTCTCTCGAATGGAGCCCAGCAATCTCTGGAAAATTCATAGTTTCAGTAATCTCTCCTGATGTTGATGCATACCAAATTTTGAGAACCTCTCCTACAGGCAATTAATAGTATATTTTCATATTTTGCAGTTGGAGATTGAATTTATTTTTGAAATGGAATTTCATCTATGCAAAATATAAACATTTAGTGAATGTGAAGGCATGGAAACATATCTGAAACTGAGGCAGTGTTAGGGTAATATGGTAGTCACATATCATTGAGTGACAAGTAATTGTTCAATCCTCTATGGTTTACACATGTCTTTCAAAGCCAATTTCAGTAATTTCTAAAAGTTTTGACTGTGGGGGTATAATCTGTTTGGAGCAGAATTTTTATTCCCATGTCATATTGAGAAAACGGTTGCCAGATATTAAGTGACTTACTCAAGGACTACTAATTATTGGTAACTGGGAATCAAACTTACCTCTGTTCTATCCTGGTTGCAAGCTTCTTCCCATGTCTTCCATGTGTAACCTTATGAATCTACACTTCTGCACCTTTAGAAATGTGTGATTGTGACACGCCTTACACTTGACATCTTTATATGTGCTTAGTGCACAGAAAGAGGACTTCTGTGGTTTGTTTTGCTTTTTTTTTTAATCATATAATAAATTGAAGCTCTGAAAGTTATGTAAATTACTCAAGGTATCCCAGCTAGTTGGAAACAGACCAGGTCCTAAAATTCAAGATCCTCACTATCAGTCTGTTTTGTCTCCACAAAACTGTATTGTTTATTGCAAATCATCTTTATGTATAAATTCCCTATTATTTAGTAAAATGAATTTATTATAATTCTGATAGAAGAACGGTCTTGTTTTTAATTTCTATACATATATTTTATGTTGTAAATGCAATATACATGCAATTATAGTAAATTAGAAATGTGACTAAGCCAAAACAAAACTCATTTTTCTGCTATATGGAGCCTAATGCTGGTTGATGAATATCCTTCCATATATTTTCTATGCATGCATTTGTTTGCATGGAATATGGTTGTAAGTAGCTTCCATTATAAATAAGAGTTCATTCATGGAAGAAAGAGTTTTCTTATACATTTTTTTTGGAAAATTGCAAAAAATGTTTTGTTAATTTCAGAAAGAGAGTTCACTATTTATAAATACATTACAGCATAGTTCACTCTGATTAAGTGTAGGTACACTATTTTAACACAATAACATTTTAAAAAGGTCATAGGCAAATGAGTTATTTATCGGAACACTTAATTTATTTGAAATGAGAAAATGATTTTTTTAGATGTTAAAGCAAATTTTTTTGAAGCCATATTATTAAAATAATATGATAAAGGATATTTCATTGTGAAGTCTTTGGAATTCTAAAATATCCCAGTGATGGCTCTATCTTTCCTATCTTAAAAAAATTTAAAGCCTAATGCTGGTCTCATCACTGTAATGTGCCAGATGCTAACACCCTCCACCCCCAAATAAGCCATATCCTCTAGAGGAATACATTTGTTTTAGCTATGTAATGAAATATCTGTGTTGAGGGAAAATGAAAAACCTTCTCCTGGAAATTTTGTGAGATGCCTTTGGCTTCAACAGTTAGCAAATGCTAAAAGTTTACAGATATATAGCTAGTTTAAATTAACTTAAAAGGTCTAGTACAGTCATGAAAAATGGGTCATGGAGATAAGAAGACTTCAGGTTCTGTTTAAATTGATAATTGCAGAACATCTCATGGGATGCAATTACTCTGGAGATTGTAGTCCTCACTAAAGGGACAATTAGAGTCTTAGTTTATACCTGCTCTGTTAATCATGTTTTATTTCCCAAGATTGTTAATTTTTCTTATACTGGTAGTGTTGTCTTGTGGCTAGGGAAACTTAGAATCTGAAGCTACTATTAGAATATTTTAGTACAACAACCTCATTCTCATATGCATCTCCACAACCATCTCAATCCTTACTATCAGCATCATCATTTATTACCATTATGGTAGTTATTCATTGTTAGTATTTATTAGTATACACCATCAACTAGCTTTGAGATGTTTATTTTAAAGGGTTTTGAAAATAAATCCAAAGATTTTAGTAAGACAAACTATGTAGTTTAGTAAAAGAATGCTAATCCTTGATTTGTCTTCCTGCTGCAGTACATGTAGACAGTGTAGAATGGCAGGAGGTTGAGGAGCAGCAGAAATAGATTCATAGGATCTCCTCATCTGTATGTGCTCATTCATAAGGGAAGTGAGTTCATAAGAAAATTTCCTCTTCAATGACAATATAATTCAGCATTATATTATCAAAAATACATTGTTAACGAGGAGACTTAAACTAAAGTCTTTATTTGGAGATTATTGTAGATTCACATGCAGTTGTTTTTTTTATTGGTTATTCAAAACATTACAAAGCTCTTGACATATCATATTTCATACATTAGCTTCAAGTTGGTTATGAACTCCCAATTTTACCCCAAATACAGATTGCAGAATCACATCAGTTACAAATCCACATTTTTACATAATGCCCTATTAGTAACTGTTGTATTCTGCTACTTTTCCTATCCTCTACTATCCCCTTCCCCTCCCCTCCCATCTTCTCTCTCTACCCCATCTACTGTAATTCATTTTTCTCCTTGTTTATTTTCCCATTCCCCTCACAACC